AAAAAGACATAGAAGTCATTAAGAAAAAATAGAAGAATACAATAACTGAAATAAGAATGCATTAGAAGGAATCACCAGCTGAATAGATGAAGCAGAGGACTGAATAAACAATTTGGAAGACAAGGTGGTAGAAAACACCCAACCAGAACAGCAAAACAAAGAATCCAAAAAAATGAGGATAGTTTAAGAGACCCTCTGGGACAACATCAAGTGTAACAACATTTGCATCATAGGTGTACCAGAAGGATAAGGAAGAAAACAAGGGCTTGAGAACCTATTTGAAGAAATAATGACTGAAAACTTCCATTATCTGGAGAAGGAATAGACATACAAGTTCAGTTAAGTGCAGAGTCCCAAACAAGATGAACCCAAACAGGTCCACACCAAGACAAATTATAATTAGAATGACAAAGAGAGAATCCTAAAAGCAGCAAGAGAAAGGCAACAGTTAAGTTATAAGGGAGCTCCCATAAGACTGTCAGCTGATATCTCAACAGACACTTTGCAGGCCAGAAGGGATCGGCACAAAATATTTAACATGATGAAAAGGACCTACAACCAAGATTACTCTACCCAGCAAAGCTATCATTTAGAATCGAAGGACAGATAAAGATCTTCCAAAAAAAGAAGAAAACTAAAGGAGTTCACCACCACCAAACCAGTATTATAAGGAATGTTAGAGGGACTTCTTTAAAATAAAAAATAAATTAAAAAAAACCAAAATTATGAATAATAAAATGGCAATAGTTACATATCTATCAACAATTACTTTCAATGTAAATGGATTAAATGTTCCATTCAAAAGTAAGAGGAGGGCTGAATAGATAAGAAAACAAAACCCTTACATATGATGGCTACAAGAGAATCACTTCAGATTGAAACTCACACACAGACGGAAAGTAAAAGGATGGAAAAAGATATATCATGAAAATAGAAATTAAAAAAAAAATGTTGAGATAGCAACCCTTATACCAGACAAAACAGACTTCATAACAAGAGACAAAGAAGGACCCAGTAATCCTACTTCAGGGTACTTATCTGAAGAGACCCAAACCCTTTATATAAATGTCTAACCACTGTTCTGTACACCTGAAATTAATATAAAATAATATTGAAGGTCAACTGTAATTGAAAAATTATAAAGGAGGGAAAGGTGAAGAGGAATAAAAGGTTCAAATTTCCAGGTATAAAACAAGTAAGCCATGGGGATGTAATGTACAGCACAGGGAATATAGTCAATAATATTGTGATAGCATGGTACAGCGTCAGATGGTTGCTGGACTTATGGTGATCACTTCTTTAGGTGTAAATGTTGAATAACTATGGTGTACATCTGAAACTCATATAATATTGTATGTTAGCTATATTTTAATAAAAATCTTTAAAAAAAACTGTGGGAAGGCAACAGAGGAGAGACAAAAATGGGACGAGCAGGGCTACTAGCATGCTTCTGAATGTGCTTTATTAGTGACACTGCAAGTAACCAAAGAAGAAAGAAATGAGAATTTGGTTCACAAGTTGGCATATGATGAAATGCATAAACGGATAATTTCAGTCTAATTATAAGGCAGGAGACAAACACCATTTTCAGCATTCCTTCTTAAAAGGTGAAGGTCATTATCCAGGATTTTGAAAAGAACTTTTTAACAGATCAAAATGGTAAGGCAGAAATAAACAAAAGGCCATAAGTAGCACCTGCAACTTGAGACTCCAATACGAAGAATCAAGCCTTTTCTTTCATGTCCATTCACCTAGTGTTATTAAATTCTAGTTTGCAAAAACAAACCAAAGGTGTATTAAAGAACTATTACCTTTCATGTTTGCAGCATGCCCAGTGTTATTCACCAAAGTGGAATATGGTTGTTCATTCTGAGGCAAGATACCTGCAGCCATGGCAGTCTGTTGGGAGAAAAAAAAGATTATTTTTTGAAAGTTTTCCTATGGGATATTCATTTACTAATCATCTATAATGTGCTAGACTTCTGCTGTCTAAAACAGTAGTCATTAGCTAAGTGGCTACTGGGCACTTGAAATGAAGCTAGTGCAGATTTGAGATGAGACACAGGTGTAAAAATACAAGATTTTGAAGACAGTACAAAAACAAAGAATGAATAATATCTCATGGATAATTTTTTACATTGATTCTACACTGAAATATTTTTGATATATTGGGTCAAATAAAATGAATTATTAATTTTCACTGATCCTTTTAATTTTTAATGTTGCTACTAGAAAATCTAAAATGGAATACATGAATCACATGATATTCTACTAGATGGTGCTATGCTAGGTAGTAAGGACCTCATAGGGAAAATAACACATACTCTCCTTTATGCATTTATAGTTTATCAGAAAGATTAGATATAGACACATATAATGCTAATATGTGTCACAAGACAGGCTTGGACAAGCAGGAGGGCTGGCTGTCCCACTTCAGGGTGGGTGCAAGGCTTCAAGGAGATATTCACATTTGAACTGTGCTCAAGGAGTAATATTTATTGTGGACTTGACAGTATACCAGGCAATTGAATAGGAGCCCTTATTCTTTACTAATTCAATTATATGAGGGTTTACTAAATTTATATGACTTTATAGTTAACAGTCTTCATGTGGCTCATGCTTAATTACATGACTAAGTAATTGGTATGGTTGCCACTGAGGAAAGTTAAATAAATTTGTTTTATATGTCAAAAAAGCAAAAATCGTCACC